AGATGCAAATCAAACCACACTGAGATACCACCTAACTCCAGTCAGAATGGCAATTATCAATAACTCAAAAAATAATAGTTGCTGGAGAGGGTGCTGTGAAAAGGGAACACATACAATGTTGGTGGAAGTGTAAACCAGTGCAACCTCTGTGGAAAACAGTGTGGGGATTCCTAAAAACTCTAAATATCGAACTCCTATATGACCCCGCAATCCCCCTACTAGGAATATATCCTGAAGAACTCAAATCACTCTATGAAAAAGATACCTGCACAGGTATGTTTATTGCAGCACTGTTCACAATAGCAAGAACCTGGAATCAACCATGCTGTCCATCAAAAGAGGACGGGATTTAAAAAATGTGGTATATATACACGACGGAATACTATGCAGCCATAAAAAAGAACAAAATCATGAATTTTGCAGCAACCTGGATGAAACTAGAGTCTATAATACTGAGTGACCTCTCACAGAAACAAAGATCTCAGTATCACATGTTCTCACTGATATAGTGGACCTTGAACATCTATCGTAATACTATAAGAAAAGGATTGACAGGGTGGGAAACTATGGGGGGGAGGGGAAGGGAGGTGGGATTAACAGAAGTAAATATCTGTCTGGGGATGGGGAGACACCCTGTATCAACAAGGGTGCCTGAACAAAACATATTTGTATACCTAACCCTTAACTGTACCCCACAATACCAAAATAAAAAATATTGATTAATAAAAAAATAAAAAAGAAAAGTATCTGGTAAAACACACCACAAATTCAGTTTTATTACTCATATTAAATGCTTAATAAATAATGATTAAATGAAGAAATAAAGTAGATAAGTAACATGGACAGGGAAATAAGAAGACAGGAAGAGACAGAGGGAAAGTATGTTTCTGATCACATTTTATAACATAGAGGAGAGGGCTAGAGGATGGAACCGAAGTTTCCAAAGCATGATGACCTTATACCATATTCCTATCATGAGTAGTTCCCTGGGTAAGACAGGGTTTGCTCATCTCCCAGAAAGAATATAGCTTCACTGTGACTTGTATACACAGCCAGAGTAATAGAATGCCCCAAGACTGGCTCATATGAGACTGTAAGGAGTATCTCAGCCTCCTGTGCACAACCAGCAGTGTGGCTACCATAGAGCATATACTACAAACTTTTACAAACTTTTACTTTGTTACCTGGGTTAACAATACCCTGACATAGCAAGGAGTATGAAAGAGAGGTTACTTGTCTACCAAAGACTCTAAGGGGGTTTACCCAGATTCCTAAGAGTTACAGTGAGTCTTCTACTCCTGTGAGCCTTTGAAATCCCAACATCACAGATGAACAACTGTTCAAAGTGTTCTTTTGCAGAAATCTTGCTCTAAATCTGACAATAGAGACAGATATTTTCTGTTAATAGACACAGCAGCAGTAACCACAGCAATAGCATCATTCATGCTTAGTAGGTTGATTTTTCAGTAGAGATCCAAGGAATGATCTATTAGGCCTGACAGAGTATTCAAAAAGTACATAAGAGTGTAAAAATCTAGAGGGAAACTACAATGAATGGCCTCGATTAAAGATTGGAGAAACCAAGAATCTTAATCCAAATATGGGGGTCCCTAGTATGGCACCTAGAAATTCAATACTCAATACAATATAGTATGATAAATTATCTGATAGAGGATTTAACAGAATGCTTTGGGGGCACACACCAAGTGTTGAGGGAGGATGCAGTAACAGGGGAAATAGTCCTGAAAAGGGTGATACTTGTGCTAACCCAAAGATGTTAAGGAGTTATTTAGGCAAAAAGGCATTACAGACAGGAGAGCTCAGCATGAACAAATACCCAGAAGAGTTGGATGACACCACCTATAGGGAACTGCAAGTAATTCCTACACAGCTGGAGAATAAGGCATGAAGGGAAAATGAGATGGCAGAGGCACAGGTAGGGTTTTAGGAAAGACCTTTTAGAAACTAAGAATTAGAACACTTACCCATTACCCTGGAGATAAATGGAAGCCACTGAAGCATTTTAAGCAAGCAAAACACAATCAACATTTTTTAAAGATCAGTTTGGCAAAACTTTGGAGAAGAGAGGAGAGAGGGACAAAAGTTGAGACAGGGAAACTAGCTGAAATAATCTCTGTGGAGGATGATGGTGGCCTAAGACAGCAGTACTCAAAATGGAGAGATGTATTAGAAACAGTAAACAGATTTTGAGAGAACTCTCAACACTTGTTCACTGATTTTTGTAAAGGGGAGAAAAAGAAAGAATCAAGCATGACTTCTAAGTTTCAAGCTTGAATGTCTGGACGAATAGATCCGCTGTTTACAGAGAAAAAGAATAAGCAATGTACATTTGAAAATATATTTTTAAAAAAGATACTGCATTAAATTAAAAGAAAAATTACCACAAACAAAAGTAGAGACTGTCTCAGATAATACAGATGCACATCGCTGAGGAAAAAATAAAAAGCTTAAATTCACAAAGAATAAATCTGAGTTAAAGAAATTCCTGTCTAACATATGTTGATGAATGAATAATCAAAGAATAAAACAGAAGGCAATTCACTAACAAGAGAGCCATCTACTGCCTTATAGGAATAGTGCAGCAATGAAATGATGCCACAAAAAATGTGGAAGAAAGCCAAGAGTTTTTGAACACTTCACATTGCACATGTATTTACAAAATAACTGATCTCTCCCACAAAAAATTCCAAATGGTTATTAGCACTTTTAATAATAGTTAAATGCTTTCACTTACTTATTTCTCCTAAAAACATCAATTCAATATAAAACATCATTTTAATATAAAATGCTTACCTGCCATCATGGCTATCATACTGGCTTTATAGACATTAGTAAGAGATCCAAGTTCTCCTGTTGCTAATATGGTTTTGAGATGAGCCTCCCCACAGGCCTTGCGAAACTGACGAATCTCATCATACAGGGCTGAGGAAGAAAATAATTGAGGCAGTTACAAAGCAGGCAAGTGATAACATAACTTGGCAGCCATTTAGAGCTAGTAGAACCCATTTCACATTTAGGAAGCATAAAACATTTGTCACTTTCTAAAAATCACCCCAATTTAATATTGCCTAGAGCATTCTGTTGCAGTTCACATGCTGTTGTAAGGAATGCTTAGTTTGCTACCATGAAACTGCTTCTAAGCTCTGGTCCGAGGTCCAGAGTCATGGAGTTTTTCAAACATCATTATAATGACATGCAAATTATAAATAATTTCTACCTTTTCTGTATGATGGTTATTTATAAGAAAAAACAAACTTACCTACCATACATACAGTGGCATACCACTCTGCAAAATAATGGGAAAAAATTTCCAGATCCTTATTAATTCTTCCCTTCACACATAACAGGTTCTTTGGTTGAAATATAAAGCAGTCCTTTCCTGAGAGCTCTGCTACTGACAATAAAGATATAACAGGTTGTCTCACTTCCTGCCAGGGTGTATGTCTATATAGCTGACTAAAAAGTGTTGAGCCTGGCCAGATAGTGTTGGATATATATACACAAAGCCATCTGTAAAGAGGCTCTGAGATGCTGCCTTGAATCTACTAACCCTTGAGTTCTTGACCCCAGAATGACATCTGGCTTTCTAGAGTTCCACATAGCACCCAGATTCACTTCATATTTCATAATCAATGTAACATTTTTATATTAAAGGACTTTAGTACATAAATAATATAACCAATATAATGGATATTAAAATTTTTGAAAAATTATCTAGGTCTTTTGTCAATTACACCACTGGATTTGGACTTTTGCCCTGTATCAGACATGCTACTCTCATTTTTTGAACTCGGGCTATTCTCATGCTATCAGGACGAAGGCTTTTTCTTTCCTTTGTATGTGTGTCTTTCATAGGAGACAGTTTTATAAGCACATGGACTAAACTGAGCAGGAGGGAAATATTCATAATATGGGTTAGCATAAGCACTTTTTAACAAACTTAGTTTGAACAAAACTTGCCTTCCCAATCCTACAATACCTGAACTTAACTTGAAGCTTGAGAGTAAAAGTTGAATACAAATGAAAACAAGTATTCTATTCTAAGATCCTTGGTAAGTTTAGAATCTGACAAGAGATGGTACCCACAGAAAGTTCTTCAAGAAAGGATTGGCTATTTTCATAAATTCTTAATAACAGGCAGTTTTGAGTACTTGAGATGCCATACCACCTACCTTACTTACCCTGCCCATCTACCTAACCTGGGAGAAAATCATCTTAATTATACTTCCAATGTGACAAACTGTATAAGAATATTAGAAACAGTAATAGACTATGTAGTAATAACAATTTATATTATTTTAACTGAATAAGTCTTGGGTAGAATGACAGTTCTCCAGTTACTGAATCTAAACCAGAAAATTGTTCTCTGAGAAAAGGAACAAGGAAACCTCCTGATATAAACATTCAAGAATGCTAATACAAAGTTAACTTATTAGTTAATGATTTTTCTTCTTCCACAATACAGTACTACCATTAAAGGCAGGCTTTAGAGCCAGACAAACGTGGATTTAAGACCCAAGTCAAAAGGGATTGGCAGTAGTAGGAAACTGCCAGGCGAGTGGGGGTGGGATTGGCAGTTGAGGGAAACTGCTAGGGGAGGGATGGGCACACCTCATCAACAAGGGTACCTATCAGCCGGGCTTGATGGCTCAGCCTGTAATCCTGCGCCCTTGGGAGGCTGAGGTGAATGGATTGCCTGAGCCGGTGGGTTTGAGACCCACCTGGGCAGGCGAGACCTCATCTCTACAATAAATCAAAAAATTAGCCGGGCATGATAGCGCGCGCCTGTAGTTCCAGCTACTTGGAAGGCTGAGGCGGAAGGAACGCTGGAGTCCAGCAGGTCGAGACTGCGGTGGCTGGGAGCGGCCACTGCACTCCAGTCTGGGCGACAGAGTGAGACTCCCACCTCAAAACAAAAACAAGAGTACCTACATAACCAACGGTTATATGCCTAACCCTAAATTGTACCCCACATCTTTAAAATAAATAAAATTAATTAAAACCCAATTCCATCACTTCCTGTGGGGCCTCAGGCAAGCTGTCTCTCTCAGCCCCAGTTCTGCCTTAGAATGTCAATAATAATATTTACTTTATAAGGTAATGATGAGGATTAAAAGAGATATAAATAAACTACTTTGCACACTGTCTGACATATTATAAGCACTCAAAAAGCTTGATCATTATTATTAAGTTCAGAATTCTAGTAAAATGAGTTTTCATTAAGTGTTATGTAATAAAAATTGAATCTTATTTCATGGTCTGACCCAAATCCTTGTACTGAACTGAAATTTTGTATGGATTAGTGCTTACACTGTGAGCCATCAGATAAGCCTTGAAAATATTTTATTACAGCATTTGTTAAAGGGAACTTGAGCTTGTAAATCAAGTTCTTAAAACACTGATCACAATCTTATTTATGAATAAAACCACTATCCTTTCCTAAAAAGTACTACCTTTGATACCCAGTGAATGAATTTCTTTAAATACCATTAAAATTAGCCAGAAAAACCAGATGTATTTTATGTCTCAGCCAGTTACCAATCATTTGGGAGTTAGGCACTTTAATCCATGATCCAAACAGAATGAACCCAAAGTAGTCACTTAGAGATTAACAAGATAAAACAAATATGCAACCAGTGCCTTCTGATTCTTTAACTGCCAATTTCTTAAATATTTTACTGGCCTATTTCAACACAGAACAGGATCAAGTTTTTCTGAGAAGTATTTTAATCTTTAAGTTTCAACATTTAGAAAATTCTCATTTGTTTCAGTTACCACCCTGACCAGAATAATTAAATCAAAACATATAACCAATCTGGCCTTTTCTGAATGTTACCTGGGCTACATCAAGTGATTGCTTCTACTCAAGCCTTTGAATCTTACAGAGTGATGCAAAGATGAAATAGTTAAACTTTTTAAAAAAATATTGCAGCATCAGCAATAGCAGCAGATCCAAAAGCCCAGTGGCCCAGTGGCCAGCCACCAGTCAACAGTATGGTACTCCTGATGACCAGTGACAGCAGCACTGGCAATGATCCTGTGAATAAACTCTTCCCATGGTACAATCTGCCTGTACTCTGCTCCCCAGTCTATCACAGTCCTGCTTGCTTAGCAAACCTAGATCTCCAAGCTTGCTATTTATTCAGTAAGCCACTTTATGTCTTCTCAATAAATCCTCTTCCAGCTTAGCCTAATCACAACTAGCTTCAGCAGTTTCAACTCATAAGTATGTCCTGAGGACTATAATGTAGTGGACAACATATAGGTTCCCCCAACCACCTGAGTTCATACCTCATCTCTGCCCTTTATTTGTTGATCTCTATCCCTTATTTGTTGGTTTGGGCATGTTACTTAACTCTTAACCTTTATCCCAGTTCCCACATTAATAGAATGGAAATAATAGTAGCATGTACACCTCATGGAGTTATTCTGAGTATTAAATAGGTTCATACACATAAACTGGTAAGGACAATATCTAGCACACACTAATACTCAAGGAATACCAGTTCCAGTTTCCTGGACAGTGACCATGGTGTTACTATTACTGGTCAGTGCTTATCAGGCTAAGAGTAGGAAAGAACTTAAAAAGCAGAGGATAGCCGGGCTCGGTGGCTCAGCCTGTAATCCCGTGCCTTTGGGAGGCTGAGGTGAGTGGATTGCCTGAGCCCGTGGGTTCGAGCCCCCCCAGGGCAACTTGGTGAGACCTCATCTCTACAATAAATAAAAAATTAGCTGGGCGTGGTAACGCGCACCTGTAGTTCCAGCTACTTGGAAGGCTGAGGCAGAACGATCGCCGGCGCCCAGCAGGCGAGGCTGCGGTGGCCAAGAGCGGCCACTGCACTCCAGTCTGGACAACAGGGTGAGACTCCAACTCAAAAAAAAAAAAAAAAAAAAAAAGCAGAGGATACCATGATCTAAGTTTCTTAAAGAACATAAAATAAAACCTCTTTGGGGCACCAGAAAAGCAGTTGGGGGGTGGGGGGAAGAAGTTTACTTAAATTACAAACAAGTTTGTTTTTAAACATGGAGTCCACACTCCTTTGAATAGCACAGACTCTTGAGATACTACTGTTTTTGCTACTTGCCAGTTATGTAAACATTTAGAAATTATTCAGTTTCTCCAAGCCTAATTACTTAGGGAGGCTCAGTGTGCTCACATATTTTTGAGTAGATTAAATAATACATGTAGCTAAAACAGAATCAGGCATTTAGTAGATGTCTAATCATTCAATACTAGCTTCCCATATTTTTCCTTGTATATTCCCAGAAATTTAAAAATAACTTTAAAGAACAAAACAAAGCAATTGTTGACCTAATACCAATGAAAGCACAATTAGAATTTGCAGATCTCACATATGTGAAAAAATAGACTACTCCACTCCAACACGAACATGAAAACCACAAAGAAGCAGTATTAGTGTTTAGGTAGTTTTGAATACTTTGACAATACAATGATAGATACCTTGGAATCTAGATAGATGATATCCAAGTGACTTGATAGCTGAAATGTAACCCAGTCATTCTCAAATTATGTCCTTTAACAAACTCAGTTAACACTTTCTTTGCAATATAAATGAGCAAAACAATGGGAAAACGAATGGGTAGATTTTCCCCTATGTTAGAAGGAAAAGACAGCGGTAGGGTGTGGATTTTTAAAACTGTTGCTAGACTACACATGCAGAGGAAATTACAAGTGAAGTAATAAATTCCAGAGATCTTCTTTCTAAAAAATTCTTCACGAGGAATAATTACGAAAAAGAATGAGAAATATCCTAAGTTTTCAAAGTTTCTTCCTTCAAAAATGCTCATAGTGTTTTCTAACTAGCACTTAGTCATCTTTTGTGAGACAGTGGGCAGTTGCATCCACATTTCAGATGTAAAAAGTGAAATGTGGAGAGATAACTGGCTTGTCCAAAATCTTA